TTGCAGTAGTCAAGCCTACTGAAGATAATCGTACGGTCAATTCCCGCTAAGACATAAGCCCTTTAACTCTTAATATATATTTAAGGTAGTGGTAATTTTGTAACCAAGGTACACCAAGATATTTAATTTGCGGTTTTGAACATTAGTGATTGAAGCTGAACACATTTAATTGTTCCACTATGGGTTCAAAAGCAATAATTTCACTCTTATTACTGTTTAACTGGAGGACATTTTGCCACATCCAGTGACTGCTTTGTTTAAATCACCTGTTCAATGCTTAAATCGGGCGGCTGTGGCTCAGGTGGTAGAGCGAGCTGGTCGATAATCGGAAGGTCGGCAGTTCGATTCCGCTCTGTAACCTGTTTCATGGTTGCTGTGTCCTTGGGCAAGACACTTCACTCACCTTGCCTGGTGTGAATGCGTATGAATAGATTGTTTAAGGTGGTGGTCGGAGGGGCCGTAGGCGCAGAATGGCAGCCACGCCTCTGTCAGTCTGCCCCAGGACAGTTGTGGCTACAATCGTAGCTACCACCATTGGAATGAATGTGTGTGAATGAATAATTGACAGTGTCCTCTTTGAGTGTCTCGAAAAGCGCTATATAAATCTGATCAATTATTATTATTATTAGTATTATTATTAATAAATGAGACCATCTAGTGATGTTGTTGTCTGCACAATTATATCATGATATTTAGTTGTTTTCTATCAATGTTCAGTGGAAGCATGTAGATACTGAACACAATAGGCCCAAGAAAGGAGCCTTGGAGAACTTCATGTGTTTAGTTTATTGTTTTCAGTCAGTTCAGTGGTTTCTGTCCATCAAACAGGATTTAAACCAGTTAGCAGAGCTCCAAAAAGTGCTTCTTAGTTTTCCAGTGTCTGTCAGAGTGAGACTTTCTCACTATCTGTGTTTAAGTAGGTGTCATTCAAGACCTTAACAAGGGCGGTGGTTGAAATCTTGCCTGGAAAACATCAAACTTCATTGCTCGTAAATTGCTCAAAAATGCTTACGATAGCTTTCTGCAGTGACATTTGGCCCACCACAGGCCCTGCCCCCTGCATCATCTCACAGTGCTGGAGGTCTCAGCAGAGTGGCAGCGGAGCGACTGGTGATTAAGTTGGAAGGTCAGGTGGAATTGATTCTTTTCCCAGCGGTACTTCCTTGCAGCACTTAGACTGGAGGCGAGAGCCAATTTGTTTTGGGAGCATAGGATTATTTTGGAGACTATCCTTATTCCCTTCATTTCCCTCCTCTCTCTGGGGGTTTTCATGTGCTCTTCCTGACCCCGTGGCTCTGCCCTAGTGGACAGTTTCAGCTGCTGGCTGGAAGTCAGGCAGACAGTGGTCAGACGTCGGGAGAACAAGGCGAGCCCCACAGAGATTGGCTTATTTAGCTCAATTACTTCATGAGATGGCATACTCTAACCCGGAATGGTCTCTTCTAATGAATCATTAGTGCATTAATCACCCATTTAGATAGTGGCTGCTACAAACAAAAATCATTTGCCCTTGGTGTGTTAGGCTTTTCCAGGCTGTGTTGAACAAACCAGTTCTCAGCTTCTGAATAAACTGAATCACGTAGTGGAGCAACAACATGTGTTTAATATGGAACAACATAATTGTTGAATAATTTGTCACGCAAAGTTCTATTCTTTGGCTGTTTTTTATATCACAATGTGTGGTCTGTATGGCAATTTGTGGGGGAAATAAAGGTGGGCGTCGTGTGTTTCATGTCATGCACACAATATCGTGAGCTTCAATCTGACAACTTGTTCTCTTGTCTTAATGCTTCATCAGGCATTGACAGAAAGCTGTAATTGTGGACCGAGCTTCTTGTTTTGATAGAACTGACTGACACAAAGCTGACAGCACAAACAGCTGCCATCAATTATGAAGCCACTGACATTGTCTGCGTGTTTATTAGGCTGAGCTGATTTCAAAGACACCTGAAGTGTATCAGACAAAGCCACAAAAAAAGAGGCATCTTTAACATTGATGCGCAAGAAATAAAGTCACTCCGGCTTAAGTAAAATGGTATATGACAATAGAAAACTTTCTATACTACATGCATGTTGTATCCCCTCAAAGTCTGCAGTTTAGTGTAGAAAAAATCCATACATGCATTGCTTTTTGTGTGTATCCACCCATTTTTTATTTTTTTTTGTCTTTTACAACCCTGAGTGTCGCCTGATGTGAATATGAGAGGCCTACTTGGTCCATACATGTTTCTTTCTCTCTTTCAAACAGTTAATCCTTTCCTCTCCCTGCAGATTGCTGTGCCATAGCTGCACCTCAGCTGGCGATTTCCCCCCATCGAGAGCGGTGGATGGAGGCACTCTGACTGTGTAAAACGTGCTGCTGCTATGCGCCTCTCCACACATCCCATGGGAAATGCAGACGGTGAACTCTCCCTCACCTTGCTTGGTTACATCCACGGAATATAGGAAATGGGGGTGGTGGTGTGGTGGAGTTTGGGTTGTTGGGTGCAGGGTTGGCGGAGCAACAAATGCAGTCATGACGTAGGTACCGGCTGTCTGGAATGGTAATGCTATTATTATGATTTTGAGGGAATGTCTTCATAAATGTCTGCTCTCTGGGGGAGGCAGGGAGGAGGCGTGGGGGCCCTTGCGTGGATGGGCTCTTTTCACCATGAATAAATTCATGTCCACTCCTGCGTGCCGCTGCAGCCCCTGTTTGCTCATTTCGTATGCAGCTGGTTCTGTGGCCCGTCCCAAGAGATGAAAGTTTGTAAACATGAATAATAATTAGGAACAGGTCGACAGGCAGGTAATCTGCATGTGGGTTCCAGAGGCGTACTTGCCCAGTGTGCAGCCAGTTGGGTGGCCTTTCATTAGCATTTTGTTTGCACAGAGATGCAGGTAACGTTTGATCTCTTATCAAGGCAAACAGAGAAGATGTAATTTCTAATTGGTTTTAAAAGAGATTAGACCTTATATAAAGAAGGGAATGACTGGCAAATAGATTCCATGACTTCTGGGCATCCTTGATTTTTGACTAAACATTTGTGTTCGACAGCGCACATATCACTCAACAAACTGCACCCACACAAGTTTTGGGCCTATTTGAGTTTAAATAGGAGACAAACATGAGTCTGTCTTATCAGTAGGATGCATATACACAGCAAGTTTATGCAGCATAGTTTGTGCAGTAACATTCTGTTTACCAAACAACATAGATGTCTCATTTGGTTATATTTCTCAAATGTTCTCTGGCTTCGGTGGTGTGAGTTGTTGTGAATTGCGTAAGAGTAAGACTGGCACATGGGGCAGGCTGGTGAACATCTGGGGGGGTTGCCAAAATTGGAACTCATGGGTTTTATAGGTTTGATAGAGAGCCTCTGGTGGCACCAGGTTTCTGACTTGTTAATATAATGACAGGATGCTAATGATTAATTAAGAGGCTGATTTTCATTATTACTGTGGCAAGAGAGAGGTTTGATCTTGAAGTGACTTTGGAGCAGGGAGAGAAATTGAAGCTTTTGCTATTCTGCAGCCATACCTTCTCCTGGCACTAACAAGCCCCTGACAGCAAACAAATCTTTGACAAGTCCCCCTCATTGCCCAGCCCCCTTTTATAGATAGTCTTAAGACTTTAATCCGGATCCAGTGACAGACTCATCCTCAGTCAATAGGGTAAAGAGAAGCTCATACGAGGGATGTGTGCACTTGTCCAAAGGCTGGTTCAAAGCGCACATGCTCCGAATCTTAAACTGGAGCTCACCTCAAATGAAGGGTATTGAAGGGGGGATTGACATATGTTTTGTGAATAAGCCCATACTTCTTCTTTCAATTCCGTGCTGTTTCATCCAGCTGAAATCCAGACTTTGAAAACGATAAGCTAAGCAACTTAGTCTCAACATCATATCTCAATAAGCTGAAAAGGATGCTTTCGATTTCACAATCACGCAACAGTCCCAGTACGGGAAAAGTTCACTACTGCACTGATTTAAGTTGCTGCCTTCAACTTTGTTCATTCCAACCTTGTAACTCCTTGCCGTGTAAGTATTCTGATCTTTAGAAATATACATTGCCTTGCGTATGTCCCCTGTGTTTTATGCGTGTGGTATCTCTTTCCTGTCAGCAGTGATCCATGCACAGTCACATTTCAGAGCTTTAAGCAGGAGTGTGTGAGAGGATCTGCTGGTTATAGCTATGTGCCCTGCAGGTCCCAATCTGTCTTTGTTAGGCCTGCTGCGTGTCCTATCGCACCTGCCTTAGCTAAGACTGATCACCACCATCTTCACCAGCATGTGCAGCCACAGCTAATATAACAATTCGTGTGCACTTTAGAATAGTCACAAGTGGCACATGAACTCATTCCCTTGTGTATAGTGACACCCCCTACACCTCAAAAATATGCAGAAATTGAAGTAATGAAGCAGATTTGAGATGTTTTATAATATAATCTGTGTTGAATAAAAAGATATTTAAGTTAAGTAGACTGTGTACACCTATTGACTTGTTTACTTCCATTAGTCTGACTCATTGGATGTAGACTGTGGGTATGAGCCTGCTATTGGCTTCTTGTTTCAGGCAGCTTTGTCTGTCCCTTCTGGTATCTGTAGGTTACTGTTTTCACAACCCTCTTCACTATGGGAAACAACAACATTTTGGATTGTGTAATGAATTATCCATTTTAATGACAGTGGTCATCTCCCTGCATGCGAATGTTCCACACCAAAATTTGATGAATTCTTCCTATTCTCATGCTCCAACTCTCCAACAAGTTTCATGAACTTTCACTTGGTAGTTGTTGCATAATCTTGCAGACAGATCACACACAGTGGATAACAGAAGTGAGAACCCCTGTGCAACATCACTTAAATGTCAGCTGATTCAAAAGAGCATCTCCTAACAGCATTTGTATCACTTCTAAATTAAACATTAAGGTGCTTTTCTTACATAAAATTAAAAAAAAACATTAACAGTTCAGACAGGAAACTGTTAGATTTAGCCATTTATTTTGGAATGACATGCATTTTGTGTTTGACTCTGCTCGAGTGATGCTCTGGAACAATCTGAGCAAGCATGACACAGACGGTCCCTGAGATCACAAACCCAAACAGAGGCTGCGATTTACAATGTTCAGTGAACACAGTATGAACACAAAACAGACAGACCAACTTAAGTGGTGCTCATTTTACAAAATCCAGGTTACATGGTTTTATGGTACAATTATGAACCATCGACATTGTACAGTCCCACAAAATATGATAAACAACCAGAGTTATGATACTGAACCTTTGAAAAGAAGGAAATTGGGGATGAGGAGGAGATTTGTGGATCTGTAGAGGCTGGTGTAGCAGCAATGTGGTGAGCGTGGAGCGGGCAGAATACATGATCGCTGCATCGGTTATAAAGCAGCTAGGTGGGTGGGTGGGCTGGACTTAAGTAGTGAATGATTGGACAGAAAAGAGCCTTGTAACGCATTGACTCCGAGCCTATGTGAGAGGTCAAGAATGATGCATTTCCTTTGAATTGATGCAAACGTGCACAACCTTCACATCTGGATGCAGGGGATCAGCAGCATGCTGCATGCACACAGATGAGCATCTGGCAAGGCACCATTATAGTGACTTAATACAAAGGAAATATACTTTGCGAAATGTGAGACTATGAGTGGCGTCAAGCATGACGCACATCCTTTGAGTCTGTGCAAGCATGCACGACTTTCGTGAACGGCCATTAAACAGTGCCCCAGTTATATGTAGTTATGGCAGATTATGTACAATATGATCTATTCGTGGTCTTTGAGCAATAGTTGATGGCATTCAGGAAGACAAAATGTTCATACATTGCGGGGGATTTGTGGAAAGAATAGGCTGTGTAGCTTAGGAGAGAGACCACGGTCTTAAAATGGGAGGTATGGGTGAGCAAACCAAGGCCTGGGCATGGCCTTCCCAGAGTCCCAGAATTGAACAGAGACTTATCTCCGATTGGTTAACCATTCCCAGCAATAAATCCTAGAAGAGAAGGAAGCGAAAGCATATGCGTGCTGGCAATGAAGATCGGAGCACCTTCATAATATTAATCAACATTAAATGCCTAAGGTTGATGGATTGCTTATGGTTATCTAATGAGGAGACAGATACAGTGAGGTCATGCAAGGAATAGGATTTCTCAGTGCGTGAAAGAAACTTACCACAACTAAGACACACCCTAAGCCGCAAGAAGGACCGTTCCAAGATGGTATTTACATGTAGACTAAACACCCAGACTGGAAGTGAGAACTGACTTTGCATCGAGAAAGTGTAATATCAAGATGTTTATCGTTGACTTCTGGATGAACGTCTTTGGTCCACTGAAGTGGAGGTAACAATATCATTTCTCAAGAAAGCTGGAAACTGCAGGGTCTAAATGTCTTCATTGAAACTGGACTTCAGAAATTAGGTTAATGAACCTGAGAAGGGAAGGAGGTGAACAAGTATTGAACCAGATTATGTTTGGACTCAATTTGATTGGTCAAATGTTGACAAGGCAAGCTGCAGGGACAAATGAAGCACAGATATGACTGAGGAGTGCCCTCAACGTTGACTGATGCTTCGTTGTTGCAAAACATGATGTTTCCTCTACCATTTATCTTCCGACAGAAATTGTTGCCAACATTAAGGGTAATAGATCGTTGCAGAGTGGTAGGCCAATAGCTAGCAATACGAAGATGGAAGTCCCTTGGCCATATATCTGCAAAACGTTAGTTATTAAAGAAGACCCCCAAAACCTGCAAAAACAGCGTTGTCAGATTGGAACACTGAGTTGACCATTGATTCTAGTGTGTTATTATAAAAGACGGTTTTAGTGCCTGTATAATGGTGACCCACTGTGAATTTGTTCGCGAGTCTTCATGTCAAGATGACGAGCAACTTATCCATGATTCAGAAAGGTTGAGAAGTCTGAACGCAAAAGAACTGCCTGACAAATGATTAACATTAGACGGTTAAGGTGCCCTAGTGAAGACCATATCACTGTAGATAGCATCTGCAAAACTCTCTCAATAGATCTAACTTTTCCTGGGGCAGGTACTCATTTGCTGTATCTACAGATAAAGTCAAGTCGCAGGTAATATAACTCATTTAAAACAAGAGCTGTTGTGGCAAAGTGATCTTCAGTAAGGAAATATGACTGAAAGTACAAACTACCTTACAAACACAATTGATTTTGCATCCCTATAGATTTTTTATCATTTGAATTTTCTGTTGTAAATAGTAATAATACTTGGAAATGCTGATACTCTATGGTATTGTTAATAATTATGGTCATAATCCCACCTAGTTAATGCAATGCTTGAGATGCCAAGGTATTACAAAATGTGGAAATTAGCTCTATTTTACATACAGAAATTTATCTGAATTTAACGTTTAATATTTTAATTTAATATAACATATATATATAAATGTCAATGCAGTATTCTTTATGTTATGATCTTTAGCTATCATAACAAATAATTATACAGTTAGCGGCTTGTTGATGATTATGCAGAGACCAGCCAGTGGGGTTTTTTTCTCCGTCACTACACAACCAAAGTCTGACTGCAAACAAAATGTGGTTTATGTTTTCACTAAATTCCAGACAGATGCCACTCAGAGTGTGTGAAAGCCTTAAAAAGAAGAATCTATAATGTCTACTTTCCAAAACTGAGCATCTGTCCCGTCCATCTATTTTCTGTACACTGCTTTATCCTCTGTAGTGTTGCGGGATGGCTGGAGTCCATCTAACTGACTTTGGGTGAAGGAAAAGTTTACCTGGACAGGTAACCAGTCCATCACAGGGCCTACATGGATACAGGCAATAAGGTGCAGTCACATTCACACCTGCAGATGATGCTGACTCACCAATTAATCTCAGCACGTCTTTGGACTGTAGGAGGAACCCAAAGCACTCTGTATAGTCCATGCAGGCACAGGGAGAACATATGAACTCCACATAGAAAGGCCCAAGTACCTTTGAGCTGTGAGGCGACAGTGGTACCCCTGCACCACTGTTCCACCTGTACCTGCTATTCTAATAAGCAAGAAGCATGATCTACAGTTGACAAAGAAAGATGGCACAGAGCGGGGCGCCAGACTACCTTTTTCATTAGCAGCACTTCTACCGTATCACAGCCAAAACAATTCACTTGCGGAAAATCTGCTTATCAATGCACATTAAATATATTGATGTTCCCTGAACGTCTCGCTGTGAAGGCTAGCTGCTGTTTGGTGGGTACGGTGTGCTCAGAAGGGTGTGTGACCAAAATTCCTGTGAACAGAGTGAAATTATGCATTATTATGCCAAAATGACCAAGAAACGTGTCTTTCTCCACCAGCTGCCTTCATCTTTGAAACACACCGCAGTTAAAGAACTTGGAACTAACAGAGCCACTGAATTTTGAAAGTACTACTTTTCGCCAATATAGCAAATGCAGTAGCTGCTTATGCCAGCTAGATCGACAGCAACACAGCTTCATGATTTACTTGCACAAATGCGACCACTTTAAATTTTTTACTCTCTTGCTCTCAAAGATGTGGTCACAGTCTGGAGCCCTGGGTGGGACTGTATATGCATAAAGCCTCTTGGTCATGAGAAGCTGATGAGCCGGTGATCAACTTTATTGTGCCAGACTACCTTTAGTTTTATCTAAAAGCTTCGAAAGCTACCTTAAACACAGTCATAATATTTTATAGCCTTAAATCAGTCCTTGGGAATAACAGATATTTCAACACAGCCATCAAGACCTTTTCTCTACAGCTTGATTCAGATGAACTGAACAGAATTTAACTAGGCTGGTATCATTACCTGCCAGTATGTTGCTCCAGCGGTGAGCCTGGAGAAGAAGGGCCACACCAGCAGGGGGCGCTGAAGCTGAAGGAGTCACGGTGCTCTGGCGATGACGTTAATCTGATGGGCGGAGACATAGGATTTGAACCTGGAAGTATTACGGCAGGTAAGGTGCTGAGGAATCCAGGAGCATCATTTATCATCAGTGTGTATGCACAGATATGTGCGTAGAGCGTGCGTACGAACATTCTTCTACAAAATATGGTATTTATCAACTTTTATTTGTACTTAGGAATGTGCGTAAATATACGCACAACTCTGACCATGCGTACGCACATAATCTAGCGGTAGAAAAGTGAAACTACAACAGAAAACATTCAGGGATTTTCACCACCGGCACATTCCAGCGTGAGGTTGGAGACATATGTGGCATTTCTCAGCCATCACTGAACAGGATCAAGCCGGCAGTGTTGGATGCCATAACTCCCCTGGCCCAGGCCTACATCCAGTTTCCTAACAGCCATCACTGATGAGCCCAAATCAAATGGCGACTTAACGCCATTGCTGGATTCCCAAACATAAGTGGAGCCATAGACTGCACCCACATAGCAATCAAAGCAGCATCACAAAATGAGCTTAATTTTGAAAATAGATAAGGGTTTCATTCAGTCAACATACTGATAATTTGCAATGCGAATTTGCCGCTATCCAACGTTGTTGCCCGGTGGCTTGGAGGAACGCACGACTCATTTATTGAGCAGAACAGTTCTGTGGGTCTCCAAGTAGGAGCTGCTGAAGACAACTGGCTTATTGGTGACTGTCACAGAGTGTGAGATGTTTTAGCTGGACTTAGTTTGGTTATAAAAACATCTCGTCTGTCGTGATCAGGGTTATCTACTGGGTGAAAGTTCGGTATTAATTCGTCCTCCTCCAGTTGCAGTTATTTCTCTTTCATGGACTGTGATGTGTTTTTTGGCACTGAGCTTAACGTCAAACCACCAATTTTGCCGGCAATCTCCTCTGACCCAACAGAAATAACTGTGGTGGTTACCTTGTCCTCATGCAGCATTTTTTCTTTCGCTGTTTATCCCAACATTTCACGCACCAAACAGTATTTTCTGGTTTGCTTCAACATCGCTGACAGTTACCTTGATTTCAGTTTCAGAAAAGTTCCTTTTTACGGTTCCTCTCGTACTGGGCAGGATTACTATTGCAACAGCACATCATCAGTAAGTTAAAACTAACCTGTCTCACGACGGTCTAAACCCAGCTCACGTTCCCTATTAGTGGGTGAACAATCCAACGCTTGGTGAATTTTGCTTCAACCTCGCTGACAATTATCTTGATTTCAATTTCAGAAAAGTTCCTTTTTTCACCCTTTTTGCCACGATGATGACGACAGGTGAGGAAAAAAATAAGTCTTCACTTGCTTATAAAGAGGTGTGTTGTTGCCGCATATGGTGACGTGGAAGCGTTTCTGAAGGTAACATGCACGAGCAGGGAGGTTAAGAACAAGGAGGATTTATCAACACTGATGTGCGTATGACCCCCGTACGCACGTTTGATAAATACAGATTTTTTTGTACTTACGCACACTCTAAATTTCGTGTGTATGACAGAATTTAGAACCTTTTCTACGCACTGATGATAAATGAGGCCCCCGGATTTCGCTGCTTAGACTGAAGGAAGGATTCAAGTCAGATGACATACTTGGTTAGGTCATGGTGTTCACTTTTTTCTACTTTAAACATTTTTGTGTGATTTTTGGAAGCATGCTTCCAAGCATTTATGGTGCCATCTATAAATGTCCCGTCCGCACCACCTTTTGCACTCATGCTGTCCCATATCATCCCACTCCCACCTCTGTGCTTGTCAGGACGATGCATTCACTGTGGTTGCCCTGGCCAGGTTTACACCAAACATGCTGGACCCCATCTGAGCCAAATAAATATGCCTTGATCTCATCTGAACAAATAATGTGCTCCCAAAATCATAATCAAGCTTATATGTTGACGTTGACTCTGATTTCAATTGATAACCCCTGTACCGGGTCGGAAAAACCTGCCTGTTTTTCAGAGCTAGATTAGGAGGACGTCCACTGTGGCTCTGATTCGTGGCACTATGGTTCATTTAAACCTACTGGTTTCTGCTACAGCTGTGTTCTGACTAATTTGCTGAATACTTTTTCAATCTTTGTAAAGTGAAACAACTGAATCTTTCAATTCTTTTCTTTTAACCATGCTAATGCAATTAGGCTAATTTTGGATTGACATTTGACATTTAGGTGATACTGCACAGGGTTTACTCACGTCTGCTGTGTACCATACCTCTACCTCAGCTCTCGCCGTGGTGAAGGAATGAAACAATCATCCTGCCAATATAAATGTTAGCTTTTAAACAACAGCCAGGACAAAGAGTCTTACCTTAATCACATGCTTGAGGCATTAAGACAATCTCTCTAAAACCAAAAACTTTAATTAAAACTCTGGAAGTTTTCACATAGCAACAGTGATATGCTGTGTTGTTAATACTGTCGTTCTGAAAAAAAAGCTGTGCATTGAATTAATCTATTACATCTGGATGAATCATATGACACGTGACCCTCATTGTTTAAACATAAAGCACCTCCTTATTGACTTGTTGTTAACTTTATCAGGATGTCAATAGTCATTATCGCTTAGCTTGTCTTGATTATCCTCTGAGCTGTAAAATCAATTAGACATAATCTAATCCCATTCTGCAGGTCAAAAGTTCAAAGTGTATGATGATTCACTGTATGATGTCAACCTTCTAATAAATACACCATCTCATACATTTCTTCCCGTTCAAAGAGCTGCAGATATTATTACACTTTCTGAGCACCTCAAGGAAAAACCTAATTTGCTAAATAATGGCATCGTTTCACCCGTTTCTCAGTGGGAGAGTACAGGTCACACAATACTAATCACAAGGCTAATAACGTTGGATACAGTTGTACGTGGGAGCTACATGGAATGGCAATGACCATTACAGATGAGCAGGTATAACCAATGCAAAGTATTCAGTGCAGAGCGTCCAGGTTAAAGGTGGACGACGTGCCCTAGCTTGCTTTAGCGGCTCACCTGGGATAATTGTGAATTTCCATATCCAAGGACAGACTTTCCCCACTGTTTCACACACTCCACATCCTCGGCTCGTACACCACCGTACCAAGGGAAACATCTTCAGGTTATCAGTCTCTAAGCTCTGTGAATGACTCCATCTTTCCTTGCCTGATTACATGATCAAATACAAGAAAGGCAAAAAAAGAAAAAAACAGTGTACAGCAACAGAACACTGAAGTAGTAATAATCCCCTTATTTCCCCCCAGCAAATCCAATTTTAACAGCATATTGTGTCTGGATAGGTGTTCATCCTTGACTGAATTTGATGGAAACCTGCAATAATATGTGGGCATGCATGCCTGAGATAATGCAAAGTGACATTGCGATGAGTGGCTTTGTTTTCCACGTTTCTCTCCTGATATAATTTAATGACCCATTGCAGAGTTAGAAATCAATGTGTTTAAGAAAGAAAAAAAAACCCAACAACAACAACACAGAGTCTAACAGGTTGTGATAATTATGTGGACAAATCTGTAAATCAATAACACACTGAGTTCATCTGACATTAAAAAGCACAAGGTCAAAACAAATGCATGTCGGCTATTTGAATAATCAACAGACTGTAGCTTTCATGGGGGGCGAAAAGCTGTAGGTTATTGAGGAATTGTCCCCGCTGCCGCCCTGGCCTAAGACCTCCACGTCTCTGGATCAGAGTACACTAATTTGATTTCACGGCATGCCGTTGAAGATGCATTAATCTTTCCCAGACCATCGCATGCCCCTGAGCAGCTGGAGAAAGAGGGAGAGTGAGACACAGAGAGGGAAGTGGGGTCGCAGCGACGTGCCTCCCATGCTAACAATGTTCTCCTGCCACAGAAGCGCATCCCTCCAGGCAGGCCGTGTAAACAGTGCACACCATCTCTAAATCACATTCACACCCTCAGAGACTTTAGGCTCTCTGTCCCTCTCCTTACCTCGCTCCCTCCGTCTGAGGGCCGAGACAGCATGGTCAGTTGGCTCCTTTTCCATGATGCCAGTAACAAGTGTTTTTGCACTTGAAGATTTTGCCGCCTATTTTTTAGCACTTGACACAGTTTCAATGTAGTTGTGTGAATACAATTATTTGGGTTCACTCGTTGGAATATTTTTTTAAAAATGTAACACCCTAACAACACATTGCTCTGTCAATCTATTGTTTTTAAAAGCTGTGATTTTTTTATTTTTTTTGTACAGTCAGTGACTTCACAAGTTAGTATTCCATGCAATACATCTCTATTTCCCACGTACATGGTCGCGATCCTATAGGTTGGCCCTGAGACAGCTGTGTTCAGTGATAACTTCTGTCGCATAATCAAAGCTAATCCATGGCTCTGAGGCAACTTCTCATATCTTACTTTTATAGGAAAGTGGAAATAAAAAGATCCATCAATGAGCAAATGTCCCCAAGTCAATTTTGGTCAACAAAAATCAAAGAGAAAACACAAGAAGGGAGGGAGGAGATAAAGGGGCCCACCATAGACTTCATCTTGCTGTTAACCCCTACCCACCTCCTGTCCCATTGGCCTACCCAACTGTCATCTCACTCTGGGGTACAGCACGGCTCTGCCAACAGCTTTCTTGTCTTGTTCCATTGATCCATTTTAACACACGGTGGTGAGCGCATCAAACGCTGCGTGCCATGCAGGATCCATACCCCCCTCCCTTCATGGTTTTCAAAGGAAATGATGAAGGCATGAAAATATGAAAATGCTCTTCACAGGGGTCTGTGAAGGAGGCAATTTCCATCATGCCCATGTCTATTTCCTATGTAGAGTAAAATAACACATTTCTCTGATGTTCCTGCACACAGAGCAGCAGTGACTCTACTTCTGCTGAAGCTTACAGAGAGGGTAGAACAGATTGGGGGAGTATTAAATTACTGAGGAGGCTGACATTTTTTTAAACTCTTTATTTGGTTTACACCCCTGGGGTATGTAATCATAGCCACAGCAAATCCTTGGATTGGCTTATTAGCATATTCATATATCCTGAGTTATTTGTTCACGTAAAACTTTGTGGTTGTCCTTGATAAGCGTTTTTAACTGGTTGTTTGATTACAACACAGTGGCATATACTGTCTACAGAGGATAGCAGACACTATGGAAGCAGCACAAGAAGTACATTATTATACATTTTTTTGTTGTTGTCATTTTGTTGCAGCTTGCAGGTTTGGGATTCTGGTCTTGGAAAAATGAGAAAAATGTGTTGTAATATGTAACATAGTCCTGATATGTTCTACATATTTAGAGAAGATTTATGGTTTTTACATTAATGCACAAGATGTATCCTGCACATTAGAGGAAGGATTTACTGAGATGTGTTCATACTCCACCAACTTTCCTATGTCTGCTTTGCTAATGTAGCTTTGCGATGTCAAGCTTGAAACAATGGAAAATCCTCTCCATACTCATCCGGGTCGATTAGTCCTCTTAAATAAACATAAGACCAAAGAGGGATCATGGCATTCGGGGCTAAAGTGAGGTACTGTTCCGGTGAAGAGTCATTTGCATGAAGGAGATGTGCCCATATTAGAATTAGATGAGCTGCACTTGCTTGGTAAATAAATGAATTAATCCTGTCTATTGTCCTTGAGATTTATTCAGCTGCTGTCCTCACAGGAGAGTAGAAGTTAATTAAGATCATAGTGAGGGATGCGGTTCTGTCTAGCTACTCATAAAGATATTGTGCTCGAGTGGAGTAGCAGTCCTTGGCTTGACTGCAGTGTGCACAATACACTCCTTTTATCAAAAGATTTTCTTCCTTTTTAAGATAATAGTAATTTGATTAAAATAATTGAATTAATTATCACCAAGTCTATATGGGGCATGAAAATTAACACCGTACCAGCGTGATCAATCCTATCCATGGACAAACATTTTTTCATCCCTTCAAATGGGCTTTTTACTTAAAAAATAAATTTTTAATATTTTTATAGTTTTCATCTTCCTAGACAAGCAAATTGTGATTATACTGTTCAAATTTAATGCCGGCGCCTTTGGTAGATGGAGGTTTTTAAAGGATATTACCAAAACCTGTGGGATAATTGAAGAAAAGTCTCTGTGTTTGCTAACAATTATGTTCAGTGTCAGTATTTGTTCTAGCTGATAAGGAGGCTGCGACAGTTTGAGATTCTAAAAATAACTCG